TCTCTCTCTCTCTCTCTCTCTCTCTCTCTCTCTCTCTCTCTCTCTCCCCTCAGAGTCTCAAGATGTAGCCCAGGCTGGCCTCAAACTCACAGCGATCCTCCCGCTTCAGCTTCTCAGCTTCCTGGGTGCTGGGACTACAAGTGTCCTCTTAGGGGTTCCTTCAGAATGTTGATTTCTCAAAAGAGCCTTCCTGTCCCTTTTAGGGGTTAGTGTCCCATCAGGGGCCTTCATGACGCAGCATCTAGATCGGGTCATAGCCCAAGGAGGGCTCTTCAAGGGGCGCTCACTCCGTGGTCCCGGGGTAGACCGTGGCTCCTAGGAGCGCTGTGTGACTTGTGGAGTTAGACGCCCAGTGGCCAGACATGCCCAAGGTACCACCTTAAGATGTCATTAGGGGGCCGGGGAGATGGCTCAGTGGAATAAGTGCTTCCCTGGCAAGCACAAGGGCCTGAGTTCAATTCCCGGTTCTGCAAAAAAAAAAAAAAAGCCATTCGGCTGTGCGGGGCCTGCTGAGGCCTGCGACCCCGTAGATTACAAGCCTACTATTCTCTGAGCTATTTTTGTAACTGGCTGGCAACACCTGCTACTTCGGCTAGCTTTTTTTTTTTGTTTTGTTTTGTTTTGGTGGAACCAGGGATTGAACTCAGGCCCTTGCACTTGCCAGGCAAGCGCTTATTCTACCGAGCCATCTGCCCGGCCCCTTTTGTCGGTTTTTGAGACGGGGCCTCACCGTGTAGTTTGGACTGGCCTGGAGCTCACTGTGTAGCCCAGGCTGGCCTCACACTCGCAGCGGCCATCCTGCCTCAGCCTCCCTGGCGTTGGCATCATGGTGTGGCCCCCACGCCAGCCTGGGATTTCCTTCTTCTAGGAAGCAGCAAGGGCTTGAGGAGACTCACCCCGCCCACTGTGGCCTCAACTGCGTTGCCTCTGCTGGGCCTGGCTAGGGGTCGGACGAGCCGGTTCTGGGGAGCAGAGAGCTCAGGGAGGGTCCTCAAGAAGCAGCGAGGGGGCTGGTGAGATGGCTCAGGGGTCTAAAGCACCTACTTAGAACAAGCTAAGCTAAGCAAAACACAGGGACCGCGGTTCGATCCCCCAGCGCCACATGCCAGCCAGCCCCGCCCCCTGGTGGGCTGAGCTGGCCACACACGCACAAAATAAATAAATAAATAAATAAAAAATAAAAAAAAAAAAAAAGAAGAAGAAGCAGCAGCGAGGGAGGAGGGGCAGCCAGGAGAAACCTTGGGAAGGTCACAGAGCAGAAGCGGGAAGTAAAGTGATCCTGATCCGGCTGCCTTACAGAGGTCCTCCCTGTAGCCTGCAGGAGGGTGGCTCCCTTTCCGGGGGAGTCTTCCCCGGGCATCATTACCAGCTTTTGGGGAGGCAGTAACAGCTGGGCTGCAAGAGAGCGGGCCAGTGTGCCCAGGGTTCCAGCCAGCTCTGCCCAGCAGAGGCTCCTGTGCTTGTGCCCAGAGAGCGGGCCAGTGTGCCCAGGGTTCCAGCCAGCTCTGCCCAGCAGAGGCTCCTGTGCTTGTGCCCAGAGAGCCTCCGTCCAGCCAGCTGGGCCCGGGAACCTGTTGCTGTCTGCTGCCTTTGGCCAGGGTTGGTGGCGCATGCCTGTAAAGCCAGCACTTGGGAGACTGAGGCAGGGCGATCTCTGAGAGTTCAAGGCCAGCCTGGGCTGCACAGGGAGACCCTGTCTCAAAACCCAACCCAACCAAAGGAAGTATCTTTGGAGCACATCTGTCGTGGGTTCCAGCCACCCCCAGCACCCACGTAGCGGTAGCTAGAAGCACAGAACAGGGTCCCCTCAGGAAAGGCATGGGCAGCAGTGGCCCTGTACTCCTGTGACGTGTGTCAGACAGGGCACTCCGCAGTACGCTCCCACCTGGAGCCCGCAGCGTCCCTGGCTCTGGGGTCCCTAGCAGCAGAGGTGGGCGCGGGTAATGCAGTGGCCAGAAAAGAGGAAGGGTGGTGCAGCGGGAAGCACAGCCAAGCAGACTATGACGCTTGGGCCAGACACGTGGCTTTGGCCCTAGGAGACACCGAGCGCGTGGCCCTATGGGCTCCTGACAGGAAGGGGGAACCCGGAGTCAGCGACTGAAGTGGGGACCCTGACAGAGCAGAGCTCAGAACCCCAGCCTGGGAAGAAAGACCCAAGAAAACGGCATCGGGTGGGGAGAATTGCGGACCGCGCGCCTTCTGTGGACCTGGCCACACTCTCTTGAAAGCTGCCACTAAAATCGGGCCACTGTCACATCCATAGTTTGGCTGCTCCAGTGTAGCCAGTGGGTGTCTGTCACTGTCCCAGAGAAGCCCCCCCTTCTCAAAACATTCTGATTTTTTTTTCAGGATTTGGCTTACTTTGGGCCCTGTGTAGCTGCAGATTCCACAGCTGTGGTTTAAAAAACTTTTCTTTTTTAAAGTTCCATCTGTACTGTGCCTGTGCAGGCTTTCTTTCTTGTCACGATTCCCCAAGTGACATGGCAGAAGAATCGTCTGCTTATTACTTACATTGTGCTAGGTATCACAAGTCACCTAGACACGCTGTAGAGTGCACCAGAGGACACGTGTTGATCGTAAGCAATCATGATTCCGTTTCCCCTGCGTCTGAAGTCATTCTGCTGAGCACTGAGTCTAGACCCGTGGTAGCTCATGTGCTCAGCGTGTGCCAGGGCCTGGTTTCAATTCCTGACACCAAACAAAAAAAGAATTTTTTTTTAAAAAAACTGTTTGCTGGGGCTGGAGAGATGGCTCAGTGGTCTAAAGCACCTACTTAGAACAAGCTTGGCAAAGCACAGGGACCGCGGTTCGATCCCCCAGCGCCACATGCCAGCCAGCCCCGCCCCCTGGTGGGCTGAGCTGGCCACACACACACACAATAAATAAATGTAATAAATAAAAATAAATAAATAATTAAAAAAATTATTAAAAAAAATAAAAAAACTGTTTGCTGGCTGGAGGCTTCCTGCGGCCGCGCTCGTCCCGGGACCGCGCGCCCTCCCTCCGGGCCCAGAGCTCCAGCGTGCAGGGTCCTCAGGCGCAGAGGCGCTCAATAAACCCTCCTCCTCCTCCCCCCGGAAGAGGCCAGCGGAGCTGCTGGCTGGGGACCCGTGTGGATTTGGATCCATTTTCAGTTGCTCTGGGCTGGAGGCCTTGGGAGCACCAGCGCCTGAGGCTGGACGGGGAAGCCTTCCGCGGCCCCGCGTCCGTCCGGGGACGTCCTGGGCTCGGCAGCTGCGGCAGCCTCAGGGCCAGGCCCCCGGCGCTCTCCGCCCGCGCCGCACACCGTGTCCGTGCCGCTGGGCAGCGTGTCCTGGACGGCTGGGCACCCTGAGAGGACGGGAAGGACACTCTTCCACAACGCCCCCTGCACGCATTCCCATATTCGATTGGTCAGAACGAGTCTCATGGGGGGCTTGTGGTTTAGCTCAGTTGTTTAAGCGCACAGGGGACCGCAGTTCGATCCCCAGCTCCACATGCCATACCAGACCAGCCCCTAAGGCAGCCTGAGCCAGAAAAAAAAAAAAAAGAATAATTTAGTCACATGTCCAGCCATCAGCCAAACCGTGAGAATGGCGTTTCCAAACCTGGTTCTACATCAAGAGTAGCCTGTTTTCTTTCTTTTTTATACAGGATCTCACTACGTAGCTCAGATTCACAGTGATCCTCCTGTCTCAGCCTTCCCAGCACTGGGATTACCACACAACACACCCAGGGTTCTGGGGCCAGCACAGCATGTGGTACCAGGGATCAGAACTCGAGTCCTTGCGCTTGCCAGGCAGGCACATAGACCACTGAGCTATCTCCCCCGCCCCTCTGCCTTTAGGAAAGGGGAGAAGGGAATGAATTTTGGGAGAGTAACTGATAGTGTTTATCATACTTTTTTTTTTTTTTTTTTTTGCGGAACCGGGGATTGAACTCAGGCCCTTGCACTTGCCAGGGAAGCGCTTATTCCACTGAGCCATCCCCGGCCCCTATATATTTTTTAAATTAAAGAAATTCTTTGCAATAGAGTCATGCTATATAGTTTAGACTGGCCTTGAACTCATTAGGTAGCCCAGGTTGGCCTCAAATTTACAGTGGTGGGACATCATGCCCAGTCACATATTAAATTTTTTTTTTTTGTGGGGGGAACCAGGGATTGAACTCAGGCCCTTGTGCTTGCCAGGGAAGTGCTTATTCCACTGAGCCATCTCCCCAGCCCCTAAAAAAATAATTCTTGAGAAAACCCCTAAGGCATTATTTGTTCTTGTCAACATAAATCTAGTATTTAGCTCTTGACTATATATATATATATATATATATATATATATATATATAGTAATTGGTGCAGAGTCTTACTCTGATGCTTGGACTCACAGTGATCCTCCTGCTTTCAGCCTCCCCAGCGCTGGGATTACAGGCATGCACCCCTATGCCTGCTGGGGGGGATTGGCATGTGGTGCCTAGGATTGAACCCTGGTCCCTGCACTTGCCTAAGCAGGCGCTTTAAACCGATGAACTATCTTACACACCCCACTCCCCGCCGATTAGATAATTTTTAACAACCCCTTTAGGTAATAACTTTTAGTAATAAGATAATTGTGATCATTAGTCATCACTATTTGATTAATTCCTTGGTTTTTGTTTATAAACAAAAAGGAACACCTTCCTGACTAGGGGCGTCACTTTGCTCAGGGGCCTTGCTAATCTTCTCTTTATTGTTTCAATTCTGGTATATGTGTTGCCAAGCTGAACACAGGAATACTTTTTTTTTTTTTTTTTTTGGTACTGGGGATTGAGCTTAGGATCCTGCGCTTGCTAGGCAAGCGCTTATTCTACTGAACTATCTTCCAAGGTCCTAGGAATACATTTCTGTTTTAAAAATTTTAATTTAGCTGGGCATGGTGGTGCACCCTGTAATCCCAGCACTCAGGAAGACTGAGGCAGGCGGACTGCTCTGCGTTCAAGTCCAACCTGAGCTACACAGTGAGACCCTATCCCCAAATCAAATAAGCAGACAAGCACACAGTATTTGCTTCAATTCAGTCGCATACGCTTTCCTGCGTGCACTGTGTGTGCGCATGCAGGGGCGGCTGTGGGCCTGAGTTGCACCCCGTGGAGTCCTATTTACGGTGTGCGGCCTGGAGCCCATCGCGGGAACACAACGGTCCCTGCTGCGCTTTCTCCCTGCTGTGCCAGGCAGTGGCTGGCTCCGGCTTTGGGGGTGGTGGGGTCTTTGGTGGGAGCTCTGCAGGTGATCACAAGGGACGTGCCCATGGCCGCGTGCCAGGGATGTTTGCTGTGGGGCCCAGGATGGCCTGGAACTTGACACCTTCCTGCTTCAGTCTCCCAGAGTGCTGGGGTGACACATGGCCACCATCATGCCCAGAAATAAATCTTTATTTATACATCAGGCCAGGGGCCAATTTGGCCTGTGGGGTGTAGTTTGCTGACTCTGGCTTTAGAACTTAGACTGGTAGACATAGCGTTTGGGGGCGTCATTTGTCGCTGGGGGTCTGTGGCCCATCACGCCATGGAGGCTGCCTCTGCCTCCACCTTGGTGCTTACTGAGGTTAGGGGACACCTGAGGCTTGTGCCCCTGTCCCTACCTCCCTATGCAGCAGGGACCAGGGACTCCAGGCTTTAGTTGTGCGACTCTTCTCACCTTGGCTGGCTCTTGTCGCCAGCCTGGGGCAACTTGGGGGTGCCCAGTCCTTAGGCCCCCGCTGCAAGGCCTCCTACTTGTCCATTCTTGTCCTTGCAGGAGACCCCACTACCTGCACTTCTGGGCCCTCACGCGCTCCTCTGAGCTGTGACCACCAGAGGGACCCTTTTTGAAATCTGTCCATGGCTCAGACACAGGAAGTGCAATCTTATGTGTCTGTGACCACCGTCCACCCCAGAGCTCCTCACCCCAGGTCCCTTGGGCCCCAACTCCCCCTTGGCTCCCACCCACCCAGTCTATCTCCGAGAGTCTGCCTGCAGGTACCTCATGCAAATGGAGTTGTAGGGTATTTATCCTTCAGTGGCCTGCTATCTCACTGAGCAGTGTCATCTGGATTCGCCTGTGCTGTAGCAGGTGTGGGAACTTCTTCTTCTGGGCTGTATGATATTCTCCCATCCAGAGACCCTGGGCTGCCTCTGTCTTGGGCCCTTACTGATCAGGGACACAAATACCTGCTGCTGGCCTCCTCTTGGGTCTTTGCAGGCCACACCCAGCAGCGGACTGCTATGCGCTGTGCCCATTACAGCTTAAGATCTTGAGGAGCCGCCACCCGGTTGGCCCTGCACACGCATCATCTTGCACCCTGGCAAAAACGCCGGAGATCATGTTTCTCCCAAGTCCCTGCACTTCCAGTTTCTCAGTGGTTGTCCTCGGGCGGGGAAAACCAGATCTCTTGGTGGCTTTGCTTTGTTCCTCCCTGGGGACGAGGCTCAAGCCCCTCCAGCACCAGCCTGGCGGGCTGGGGAAGCTTGGCATCGAGGAGGTGGCCGCTGTCTCGGGAGCCCCTTTCCCAACTGTGATACGGAACGCAGGGAACCCACACTGTGCTCCTGGGTGGCACCAGGCACAGACCCAACCCCAGGGGGCTTGGAGTCCCATGGGCCCAGCCCAGTCCACCCCCCAACATCATTTTCTCAACTCTCCTGCCCTGCATTTTTTTATTGTCTCTGTCTCTGTCTCTCTGTCTCTGTCTCTCTCTCTCTCTCTCTCTCTCTCTCTCTCTCTCTCTCTCTCTCCCTGAGTTAAGGTTTCTCTCTATAGTTCAGGCTGGCCTGAAACTCACTATGCAGGCTGGTCTTGAACCCATGGAGATCCTCCTGTTTCAGCCTCCCGAATACTGAGGTTAAAGCATAAGTGGGAGCTGGCAGCTCTCTGAGCCCACACGCCAGCACCAGCCCTGTCTTCCCCGCCCCGGATCGGCCCACTGCCCTCCCCAGGTCCCCTTCTGCCCACCCCTGCTCCCCACGGTGCTGGTTCAGCTTCTCAGCATTTGCACAGGAAGCAGGTTGCTGTGTGCCCCGGGTATGAGGGGGGCCTTGGGGGACTCTCCCAGGTGCAGGGACACAGGAGGAGTGAGTGGGACCTCTAGGCGTGAGGGACACAGAGTTGGAGACCCTGTTCCTCGGCAGGCACTGGGGTTTTGTTTCCTGTGGCCACGCTGAAGAGGGCTAGGGCTGCGTTCCTTCTCGGCACCCTCCAGCTCCGTGGCCAAGGGCTGCAGCGGCTGTGTCCGGCCGCCTCCTCCTCCTCCTCCTCCTCCTCCTCCTCCTCCTCC